GTGTTGCAGGGGACACCCCACCTAAAGTTTCGCTTTAAAATATATAATTTTAAGGAAAAATGGGTCCTCCTCTTTCCCCCACCTTGAAACAGGGGTTTCCGACTTAATTATCCATTGAATAAAAGGTGGTACAATCAACAATCTGTATATATAACATATATTAATACTGTACAATAATTTACGGCCTATAATAATAGGGAATTTCCCCTTTTTTCTGGCGACAAAACTGAAACCTTAAGCAAGGAATCATGTTTACATTAACCACAATACTTGCAGTCAGAATGCACCAGAGACAGCTTTCCTTAGAGCCTAGTCCCATACGGTGTTCGACCAGATGACGCCAAAGGGCGCACCCTATTATTATATTTTGGTACTGCCAAAGAAGGCCTCATGATGTAAATATACAGCCTTTCATCAATCCACTTCTGTATGAATGCCTTCCTATCCCCTCCCTGCCCTGCTGTTGCGGTGACGGCAATGCCCGATCAAAGCTTTTGAGCCACCAGCCGCAAGTGCATCCATCACGTTGTGGTTGAGTTGGGGTCCAGTCGGGTCATGCTCAGGCAGGAAACAGGTCATCATCAAGTTTGGCCAGGACAAGATATAGCATGGTTGCTCCAAGCTGTGGTGACCGCCTGTGCTCTACTCTGCTCCTCCTTCCATCTCTGGCTGGCCCTGTACCCCGCAAGGCTGCAGGCCTGGCCATGAAGGCCTATTTGGAGGTGAAGGGCCTCCCCGCCGTCGCTGCGGACAACAGAGTGGTGATGACGAAGCTTCAGAAGTACTTCCAGAGCAAGAGGCTGTCGGGTGGCGGGGAATGTGAAGAGCTGGCGCTGCTGCCCGGTGGCCGGGCGCGACTTCGCTTCAAGCAGGAGGGCGGTGAGGCCCCGACATCGACCCCTGGGGGGGGTTTTGACACGTGTCGGTGGACACAAATACTCGGATTATAACTATTGCACGTAAACACTGTACATGTGTGTGTGTTCCTCTACACTAAACAATGAAGCAACACTTGTTTGACTCGCTGCCTTGTGCGCAGTGCTGGAGCGGGTGCTGAATGTGCAGAAGCACGTTCTGGAGATCAACCAGCAGCAGTGTGAGCTGGAGGTGTCCTTCTGCGATGAAGAAGGCCTCCAGGAGTCTCCTCGGAGAGCAGGAGGCACCACCCCAACTAAAGTCACCAGATACGGCATGGTGGGCAGCTTACTGTCAGTCGCAGTGGATGTTCTTCAATGAAATGCACTCCACATTAGAGGCATGCATTTCCAACAGTGCACGAGTTTTTGTATTTTCTCATCCTATCCCCCACCGTTATTCCTGGTTTTGACACATAGTGGTGGCACACGCCGGTACACCAGGACTGTGGAGACGAGGGTTGGTGGATCACACACGTGTCACGAAAATGTTAACTCGACTGGTTAAATCTAAATGGGATAGAGTGTTGCCCCCTTGCAATTGTGGGTTTTCTCTGGGTGCTCCAGTTTCCTCCCACATGCAACTCTCATTCGTTGGCCGGCAACACCTTAATAGAGGTCTGCAGAGCTTGGGCGGATTTGGCGCCAGCTCACCACCTCACTGCCTTTCTCGCTTTTTCCGTTGTTCCTCGCTGCCTTTCTCACTGCCTTTCTCGCTTATTCCGTGGTTCCTTGCGGTTCTTCGGGAAGTGAGCACATACCGTGCGGATTACAAGTGGAAAATATCGTGCTATCGGCATCCTGTCATGATACGTGATGCTGATGAAACCCGTATTAAATATGATCACCAGACATAACTATCAGAGAACATTTGAAATAACTACAAGCTGTCTGATCAACACTCGGGGGCAGTACTCTTCCACTCGCACGATTACATAGAGACACGTTCACTGCATTACATTTGAACCAATATTTGTATTTCTCGGAACTGAAATTTAGCCAAATTAAGCACAAAATCAAACACGAGTCTTTTTTTTTGGCGCAGTCGTTGGTGACCAGGCTGAGACCATCAACAACTACAGTTGAAAAGCCAATTTAGTCAGATTGAAAACCAGGATCTCAGCAGTGGCAGCTCAGTGCTTCAGACCTCTGAGCCACCCAGCCACATAGAGTAATGTGTCGTGGTCATGTTGTTGTGCTTGTGTTGATGCACTCATGTATCATAGGGAAGGCCCGATGCAACACCTGGACAAAGTGCTGCCAAGCCAGTGACTGAACAGCTGACAGGCGGTGAGTGAGTGAACCTGAAAATCTGGTTCGTATGGATGATATTTTGTAAAGACTGCGTTCTTAAAAATAGACCGAGAATGTTCGCGATGGCGTATGTATTCATCCCCTTGTGAAAGGGTTGTACAAAAGTAAAATTAGTTTGTGTATATATATTTTACAGATAAAGTATCACTAAAAAATGCAGACAGCTTTTTCCTGGCTTTGAATGGTGTAATTGTTTCCACTTCCAATACTCAAAACAAGTGTGTGTGTGTGATAGTTGGTAGGTTTGCGTCAGTCCTGCTCTTAAACTAACGAAGGTCAACTAAGATAGCTACTGTGCTGCCCTACTGTGCAGCATCACAGGGGGGAAAGGCGGAGGATCCCGAGGGCAACCCGACCATCAGAGTGGACAAAGTGGACTCCCTGGACTCGACCACTGTGGCAATGTACTTTGAAAGCGAGAGACGATCTGGAGGAGGAGAGGTCACAAACGTGGAAGAAACGGAAGAGTCCTGGGTCATCACCTTCGCAGATCCAGCTGGTGAGCCTTTAAGCTGTTGCCTTACACAGCGTGGGTGTGTTGTACTCCACAATAAAAACGTTCCACGGTAAAAAAAAAGTACATACAGTGAATGTTCTCCCTGGGCCCAGCACAAACCTCCACTCGAGGAGCCACCTCCATACGACTCAACTGGGCAGAACATTATTTTAAGGTGACTTGTGTAATAGGACAAAACAATAAGGGCCTTTTGGCAACATAGAAGGGTTCCCGCAATAGGGCACCCAATTTTAAATGACCCCCCCCCCCCTTTGCCACGCTCAGAACCACGAGCCCCGATCTCCGTTCCACACCTCTTTTTTATCTCCTCGTCGTCGAACACCGCCGTCTGTACCGAACCTTCTAGATACTCCCTGCGCTCCACCAGTCTTCTGGGTCTTTCCCAAGAAGCGACAAAAGTCGACGGAGAAAGGCTGTACAAATTCCGGTTGACGGGAAGAACGAGTAGAAGGGTAGGTAGGTATAAGGATGTAGTGGAATTAGAAATGAAGACGGTGGATGTGACGAGAGAAGATGCACATCATAGAAGTGCACGGAAATCTGACCAGTAAAAAGCAATAATGGGACTTGATTGAAAAAAGTGAGCTATGCATTTTACCATATTAGTTCACACCCCTCGGGCATGCTCTTGCACATTCGTTCAGGTCGTGTTTGATGTGTCTTTGCTACACGCAACATTTCCCCACCACGTTGTTGCAATGATGGAGATGGATGGTGCTGACTTGATGTTGTTGCTGGTGGCTGTTTGCGCAGTGGCCGGGCGAGTCCTGTCACGCTCCAAACACACGTTTGCCGAAAAGCCGCTGGTGTGCTCGGAGTTCGTGGAGAAGCCCCGAGTGGAGCACGTGGTCCAAGTGCTGGAGCCTGATCCACGCAGGGTGCTGCTGCGAGGCTTCGCGCAGCAGACGGAGAGCAGCCTCCTCGACCTCTACGTGGAGACCTGCAGCGGCACCGACGACTTTTGCATCAACTATACAGACGACGACTCATGCAGAGTGGTATCGTTCTCCTCCGACACAGGTGACATTTCAACGCTATCACTCTGTGCGCTCCTCGTAAGTTTGTGTCACTGTTGGCCAGTGACGCAAACTGTGCTGGCCAGATAATTATTTTTCTGTGAAGGTTATCCACGTGCAGTGGGAGAGCTGCATGGTGTTTGGAGTGCGTGATTTCTCGTGTGTGTTCAGAGTGTAAGGACATTCTTCACTCTTAGTCAAATACAGTGATAATGCGACTCAGATGAGCATCGAGGTGGTGCTCATCTGTTTACAGCCACGATCCAATGTGTGAAATTCCACGTTCCAATGACGGGGGTCAAGTATATCCATAGGACAACCGCTCTTGACTTTCCCAAAAGCTCAAATAGTTGAACTCGCAACCTTTTGATTGCGAGCCGCTCTACTCCTGAGGCACCTGGCCGGATACTGTATTACTCTCAGGGTTAAATAACAAAAAATATTTCTTCTGTTTCGTGTTTTGCACAGCATCTCTTTAGTTTGTCAATGAGGTTCATAGCTCCATTTATTTGGTATAGCCCTGTGAGCCATTCGACTCTTGAATCCGGTGCAACCGCAACAAACAAAAAACAAAAACATGAACAAGAAAACATCTTAAAGTGACTATGTGACTGTGCAAACAGAAAATCCAGGAAAAAACATCAAAATACTCCTGAAATAGCACCGTACACCAACGCTGTGTGCAAAAATCCCAGTGGGATGCAAGTCAAACAACAACAACAACCACAAGACAACTAAGATTAAGGCCATCAGTCTAACTCCGTACTACAATAAACAAAAACATTGCCAAACCAAACAACTTTTCCAAATAAAAAATAAAGCCATAAATGAAATGTGACAGTGATCACAGGTACTGCGGGGAGTGGTGGTGTAGCGGTTAGCGCTCTGCACTATGAGCCTGGCGACCCGAGTTCGATTCCTGCTCACGGTCAACACCAGTGACGATTGTCTGAACCGGTCATGGGCCTCCCCTAGGTCGACTCAGCCTCATATGAGTACCTCGTGTGGTGTGTCAAATATCGCCACTAGGGAGATAAAGGTTCAAGTTCCAGTTTCATTTATTAGGTGTAGCCCTGTGAGCCATGCGGCTCTTGAGTCCGGTGCAACCGCAACAAACAATATAAACAGAGAACGTCTTAAAGCAACGACGTGCAACAGAAACATCCTGGATAAACCAGTAAATCTTCCAGAAAAAAAGGCATCGTGTTACAATGCTGTGGGGTGTGGTGCTGGCCACCCACCCCCTCGTGTGCCATGTCGGCCTTCGTAGGTGCTCGCCAACAGCACTTGCCCCAACAGTCTGTTCAGACTACGCGAGGGGATCCTTGTCTATGTTGTGTATTTACACCATTTCATGTTGCCTCTCAGACATACAAGCCTTCATAGGCCGCTGTTGCATGAGGCCCTTATCCGGTATGAGTATCAAGGCGGAGCAGCTGCCGCTCACCAGCAGCGTGCTGCTGGAGGATCTGCCTGAGGGCGTTAGCAGGGACTACCTGGAGCTCTACCTGGAGAGCAGGAGTGGGCCTGCCGTCAAAGTGAAAGAGGTGGACTTCAGGGGTGGATGCAGCGCAGCTGTCGTCCGTCTCCAGAGCAATGAGGGTGAGGTGGTGATGGGAAGAGGCTGCCCCTTGTTGGGATGTACATGCAGAGATAGATTCACGTCTTCGTGACACAGCTAAAAACGAATTAACCTTGATTTATTGCACCATTGTTCAAAACGGAAGTGAGGACGGATTTTTTTGCCTTCCGATTAGAAAATGTATATGAACATTCACCGGCATGTAAATTGATTCTCAATTGTATGGAACAGCTCATTGCACTTAACCGATCTGCTGCAAAACGTAGTTTAAACACACATTACGGTTTTCATGTTTACTGATATTTTACTTCCCAGAGGGCATCATCACCTCAATGGTAACTACATAACCAGACATTACAAGGGCAATACACAGCACACTAGATGTATTTTTATCGTAGTGTTTAGGATAAAGTAAATGTATTAAAAATGATTTTACTTCAAATTAAATGTTTTTTTTAAGAATAGCTGAGATTGTATTGTACATTCCCATTTGGTGATGCAGATGTTGAGAAAGTGTTGAAGAGCGAGCTGCATTTGAAAGAGAAGATCGTCACAGCACACCGCTTTTACGAGGCGCATGGTTTGGTGCTACTATCATGGGATGAGGAGATCTTCAAGGCACCTGAGCCTCAGCACCTAAAAGTAGATCCCGTGCTGATGGAGTTCATTACAGCTCGCCCAGAGCAATCTCAGCAGCTGCAGGAGTTTCTAAATAATCACATGGCCACCTTCAAGTGGCCAAGTGGGGCCACGAAGGACGTCATGAAGGTTTCACCTGCCTTTGCCGAAAGCCAAAAAGCCAATTTCATACTGAAAAGCAAATGGTCAAAATCCATCCCCAATGAGTTTAACATTTTTTTTGAAAGATATATGCATTACTCTGAAACCATCCATGCGAATATATTTGATGAACTTGTGGCAAAGCTTTCTACAGGTCAGAAAGATTGTGTGCAGATTATACCGGATAAACAACAATCTAAAATAAGCATAATAGGTCAGAAAGTGGATGTAGAACATGTTGTTGAGGACCTTAAAAAAATAAAACAATTACGACGGGGGGAAGTGAATGTCAAACAAACACTTGTTCATTTGATGCCCAACTTTAAAAAGCGTTTGCAGAATGACTTTCCTGAAGTAGATTTTCACGTTAATGTCAAAAAGAGGTTGATCACCGTGGAAGGCCCAAAGGATGACTCCTTAGCAGCTGAGAGCAAAATCCTGCAAATGATGCTGCAGTGCAGTGAGAAGCCCTGGATAATCTCTGAAGAACTTAAAGGCTTTGTGTTACAACTGAACCGTGATGCTTTCATAAAAAACACCTTTAGCCAAAATGGCATAGATGCATCCATCTCAGAAAGGGGAAATGACATCATGATTGTTGGTGCGAGTGAAGATGATCTGAGCAAAGCAGAGGATCTTCTGAACATGACCTTTGTGGAGGTGAAAGTGAAGGCAATTAAAGGGTTTGATATGAAGCAGAATGTAAATGAGTGGGAAGAATTCCAGGAAGAACTGAAAGCCTCTCAGGAATTGAGTGAAATCAGAACTGACACAATGTTCCAGATAAATTGCATCAGTGGAAGTGAGATACTCGTCACTGGCTATAGAGACATTATCCAGCACGTTGCTAAACAAGTAGAGGGATTCATGGCTCTTAATGTGACACTCAATTGTTTTATTCCTGTTCATTATATGGGTGTTCTGCAATACCTGGAGAAATTTGTGGATATAACTAGCATTCTGCCAAGTGGAACGACATTTAAAATAGACTACAAACATAGAGGCTTTAGCATTACCACAAAAAAAAGAGACAGAGATGGAGTTATCGAACTGATAGTAGATATTTCCCAAAGCATAACCTCCTGTGAGAGAACCATTCGAAAGCCAGGCACTGCCAAATCTTTGTATTCACGAGGTAAAATGTTGTTTGGGGTGTTGGAGAGGAAACATACATGCATAATCCTCATCGATCAGCCAAGGGACCAACAGGAAGAATCTCAGCAAAATGCAGCTCCTCAAACCTCCAGGCATGGAATAACTGGTAAGATGCAACGTAAACATACTACGCAGTATGATATGTCTATTTCTGAACTTAACTTAAACTACTTTAAAAATGAAACAAATTCTGTTAAATATGTATCTATTACCCAGAATGAGGTTGTATGCTTGTTGAAATGCATGATTGTCATTTCACAGGATGTGACGAGGCCCTGCAGTCAAATTTAGTTGAGCGTGAACTGCAGCAGCAAGATGATTTTTCTGCCCTGGCAAACACTGGCATGACGCTGTTGAGCATCCAGGTTTACTCAATCTCAGCCGAGACCAACAAAAAGGTCCTCGATGAAATAGAAGAAAAGCTCACCACCGAAGGATGCCCAAATACAATAGATGATAAAGCAATCGCAGAGTTTGCTCACACGGAGCGAGACGCAATACGTTCCCTCCAGGATAAATACCAAGTACGAATTATTTTCACTGCACAAGACAAGATCAGTGTCCAAGGCAGCGACAGCAGTGTGAGGCAAGCTTCGGCTGAGCTCTACGCCATGGTGAATGATGCAAAAGAACGGAGGAGAAACTCTGTGCAGGATGAACTGCTCGCGCACGAAATGCAGTTGATGTTCTTTCTCGATGACCACGACCTGCTCAGGCCATCGCTTTAGGATTCAGGATGTTATCATTTCGCTGAAGAAACCAGGACTGAGGTTTCCGTGGGAGAGCAGGCAGCTCGAGGGTTTCGTCAATATCGCTGAACACGTTGAGAAAACCAAGTATGGGAAAACTCACCCCATGATTAAAAAAAAAGGTGGCCCCTAGTATGTGACCACCAGTTAGGGCCGTGTATGTCCAAGGGAGTGCAGTAGAGAGGGCTTACACAGAGAGCCCTTGTAGTCTACATTTTCCCATATCATATTTGTCAAAAGGATATCTTGGAGGTAATGCACCCCAGCAATTTTTTACCTGGCTATAACGTTCATAACAATGGTATTTAGTGCAATAAATAGCCGTTGCAAGAAAGTATTTGGTTGTAGATCCTTTAACAATCTTAACTGGTACACATTCTAGGCAGGTTTTTTAACAAATTATTTCACAAGACTCCAAAAATGTCAGTGACATTTTGTTCATGGTCCCCCGCCTCCCAAACTAGGCTCTCGTCACCCTAACACTCTGCCCCTGCCGACGAAGGCCCAGAACTGCGACGGAAATTCCACTGGTTGACATCTGTGGTGTGTGGCAGTTTGAGTCTGCTGTCCAGTAATCGAAGACAGCGGCAAACCTCAAGCAAACAAACATGCCCTTTATTGTAAATATGGTGTGTTAACACAAGTGATTCGAGCGAAAACCTATTAAGGCTGGTATGACACATATGATGGTTAGTATCGCACACACCAGGCACACAAGATAATGCCTAATAGAGCCGTATCTGTACGACTGGGTTGTCAGGTGCTGACCGCAATAGCTCATTGTGGGGGATATGTGGGGATATGTGGGTATAGCACTCTAAGGCAGGTTGCTTTCGCCTCAACGGCGCTGTTTATACACTTGTGGTTGAACATAAACCGGCCAAAGGGGCCGCAGGAGTAGTTGTCAGCGTTGAAGACGCACAGGCTAATCAGAGGGCCGGGCGAGCAGCACGCAGGGCCGGGAGCCTGGATTGATCACGGAGATGAGTGAGGGGCCACATGCATGGCCAGGAGATTCGAAGGGAAAGGATGCCATAAAGAAACGGATAGGGTGGAGAAGGGGATTGGTGAAAGTGGGAACTTAAACTAAACTATAAACAAACCTTTTTTTATTTTACCAGGTAAGGCCCACTGGGCTATTTAGTTGTTTTTCAGAAGCGACCTGGCCACAAATGATAGCTCAATGAAGTGGCTTATGTGGTAATGTATAGCAGCCAAATATGGAGTCTAAACTTCAGCGGAGTTTAGAGATTCTAGAATCTAGATGGTTCGAGAGGGAGAAGAGGATATATTATGTGAGCATGGGGCCCTTGTGGGGATGATGCAAGAACGGCATAATGGAGCGGTAAGAAAAGTGTACGTTGTATGTATGTTGAACTTTCGCACCGTACGTAGCCAACCGTGCTAACTGCACGTGGTGTTAAAGACTGTGGGACAATAAAGTACCTCTTAATGAAAAAAAGTAAAAAAAACGTGTGGACCGCCACGCACTTCATCAGGCACTCAATGAAGGTTGAGTCAATATAACGGATATCCAGGACACGTTCTGAAACCGCCTGCTAATTGAACTGCTTGACTCATTGGCACTTCACAAGTGTGTTTTTTTATACACGTGTATGTATGTTGAACCTCTTTTGCACGGTACATAGCCAACCGTGCTAATTGGAGGTACGACACCAAACTATTAACGCATACAACTTATCCGGCCATTACTCTGTGGCGTGGACTGCCATCTTTAGATGCTGAGAGTCCACAAGAAAGACCTCTCACTGTGTAACTGTGGACAATAAGACAGCAACCACTTGATATCGATCAAGCACGACATCAAAGACGAAAGAGCTTGGGGCAATGTCTAATTTTGATGAAGTATGCATTTGAGTGTCATCCGCATATACATCATATTTTATACCGTACCACTGAATGACCTTACTGAGTAGTATACAGATGAAAAACAATAGCGGTCCATGCTCTTGAGTGCTGAACAACTTAAACATGACAGGGCCTCATTTAGAAATGGATAGGCCAAAGGCCACAAAGTGTCCTCCGGCCTGTAAAAAAATTACCTTAGCCACAGAAGTGTCATGCCGGTCACCCCAACAGCAGATTCAATGCAGTGTAAAAAGACTCCGTAATCGATAGTGTCAAACGCAGTCAGCAGCCATAAGTAATTCGTCACAAGGAACCACAGGCAAGCGGGAAAGGTAGCAGCCAGGAGGTAAATCGATTCATAATAAAGGTTTTTGGGTTAGATCGTGTTTATTTATAAATGTGTCGTAACCCTCCACCACCCGACACGGCCAATCAGCAAAAAAAGTGTGACGTTGACAAAAGACAAATAATTCACTACTTTAGCCCACCGGTGTGTTGAAGAGTGAATCTACATTTACAGTTTGAGTACGACGTTTCGCTGGTAAATACATCCAGCATCATCGGGCAATTCGCCAGAATGGTAAAGCCCTCGCTTGCTCCCGGTTTTATATAGAGCAGCAGGGTGACGTCATCACTTAACTCATATCAGGTGCAGTGATTAGAGGCGGAGGGGGGGGGGTATTGTAATTATATAATCGATTAGTAATCAGTCATTGGTTATGATTAGTAATGAGTTGTAGATTAGTAATTCTTTACTAATCGATTATATAATTACAATACCCCCCCCCCCGCCTCTAATCACTGCACCTGATGAGTTAAGTGATGACGTCACCCTGCTGCTCTATATAAAACCGGGAGCAAGCGAGGGCTTTACCATTCTGGCGAATTGCCCGATGATGCTGGATGTATTTACCAGCGAAACGTCGTACTCAAACTGTAAATGTGGATTCACTCTTCAACACACCGGTGGGCTAAAGTAGTGAATTATTTGTCTTTTGTCAACGTCACACTTTTTTTGCTGATTGGCCGTGTCGGGTGGTGGAGGGTTACGACACATTTATAAATAAACGCGATCTAACCCAAAAACCTTTATTATGAATAATATTGGTCGCGAAAGCCTACAAGGTAAATCGATGCAAAATTTCGTCTTGAGCTCAGTGGTCCTATATTTGTTGAGGTGTTTTTTTTACCAATTCGTGTTTACATGTGTGTGCAAATCGGAGCACCTGGAGAAAACCAACACGTGCGAGGGAGAAATACTCTATTCCATACAGATGAAACAGAAGGGAGTGCAATATGACTGTCCTGCCGTCGCCTGGCCAGCCAGGCTATGGCACCTTGATGTAGCACTCCGATCGTTTTTTTGTATTGTTGTAACTTTCTGACCCGTCCCTATTGGACATCTGTGAAAAAGAACTTTATAGCTCATAGGATTTCTCTCGGCGAAATAAAGATTCTGATTCTGTCACTCTGCAATCTATCTTGTCAATCACGAGCAGCAGAGCAGCCCTGTGTAATGAAAACATAGAGGCTGCTGCCGCATGCACTCACCCAACCCTTGATTCCAGGACGGCCACTGATATCCCTCCCATAAATCCACTTCACACACGTTCTTGTGATCCCCTTCTTTATTCTGTGCCTCATGCTTCACCTCTCTCGCTCATGACCCTTCAGCTTTTCAAGAGTTGTATAATAATCATTTCGATGCTCAAGATACCCATCTGTTCCAATGATCAACCAGCTCCGCCTCAAGATTGTTCTAATTCCCCTTCCATCTTCTCAAGATCCTCCTCAGGAACCTCCCCATGACCCTCTTCCTCGTCTTCCTGGCTGAGCTGTCGCTGGAACCACTGGTTCGGGAGATCGAAATTTAAAAAACCCATCACAACTAAACTTTTTAAAATTTTACCAGGTAAAGCCAACTGAGCTATACTGTATATAGCAGTTTTTCAGAAGCCACCTGGCCACAAATGATAGCTCAATGAAGTGGCTTTTGTGGATATTTCTAGCAGCCAAATACTCTGAACGCGTGATGTTGATTCTAAATGTGCAGGGAAAAAAACGGAGAAACCGGAGGACCCGGTGGAAGGAAAAAAACACACGGCAATGGGGAGAGAGAGAGACATGGAAACTCCAAATACACAGCAGTAGCAGTAGTATCAGCATCAGACGCCATTCACCACTAATATAAACTAAACTTTAAACTTTTTATTTTATTTGACCCGGTAAGGCCCACTGAGCTATACAGACAGCTCTGTTTCAGAATCGACCAGGCCACATGATAGCCCAACGAAGTTGGCTTATCGTAAGGACATTTATAGCAGCCAAATTACTCTCAATGCACATTTCTAAATGTGAAGGGGGAAAACCGGATGACTCAGAGGAAAACACCACGCGATCAAGGAGAGAGAAAAACACGCAAACTCCAAATATACAGCAGCAGGCGTCAGCGTCGGGATAGAACCCACAACCTCATGCGTACCAGGCGAGGTAGTTAACAACTCCTACCCACTGTGATGATGATGAGAGACACAAACTCCAAATATACAGCAGCAGGCGTCAGGGTCGGGATAGGACCCATGACCTCCTGCATACCAGGCGAGGTAGTTAACATCTCCTAGCCATTGTGATGATGAGAGACACACAAACTCCAAATATACAGCAGCAGGCGTCAGGGTCGGGATAGGACCCAGGACCTACTACGTACCAGGCGAGGTAGTTAACATTTCCTACCCACTGTGATGATGATGATGATGAGAGACACAAACTCCAAATATACAGCAGCAGGCGTCAGGGTTGGGAAAGAACCCACAACCTCCTGCGTACCAGGCGAGGTAGTTAACATCTCCTAGCCACTGTGATGATGAGAGACACAAACTCCAAATATACAGCGGCAGGCGTCAGGGTCGGGATAGGACCCATGACCTACTGCCTACCAGGCGAGGTAGTTAACATCTCCTAGCCACTGTGATGATGATGAGAGACACAAACTCCAAATATACAGCAACAGGCGTCAGGGTCGGGATAGGACCCATGACCTACTGTGTACCAGGCGAGGTAGTTAACATCTCCTAGCCACCGTGATGATGATGAGAGACACAAACTCCAAATATACAGCAGCAGGCGTTGTCAGGGTCGGGATATAACTCATGACCTACTGCCTACAATGCGAGGTAGTTAACATCTCCTAGCCACCGTGATGATGAGAGATACAAACTCCAAATATACAGCAACAGGCGTCAGGGTCGGGATAGTACCCATGACCTACTGTCTACCAGGCGAGGTAGTTAACATCTCCTAGCCACCGTGATGATGAGAGATACAAACTCCAAATATACAGCAGCAGGCGTTGTCAGGGTCGGGATAGGACCCATGACCTCCTGTGAACCTGGCGAGGTAGTTAACATCTCATAGCCACCGTGATGATGAGAGAGACACAAACTACAAATATACAGCAGCAGGCGTTGTCAGGGTCGGGATAGGACCCATGACCTACTGTGTACCAGGCGAGGTAGTTAACATCTCCTAGCCACTGTGATGATGATGAGACACACAAACTCCAAATATACAGCAGCAGGCGTTGTCAGGGTCGGGATAGGACCCATGACCTACTGTGAACCTGGCGAGGTAGTTAACATCTCCTAGCCACCGTGATGATGAGAGATACAAACTCCAAATATACAGCAGCAGGCGTTGTCAGGGTCGGGATAGGACCCATGACCTACTGTGTACCTGGCGAGGTAGTTAACATCTAGCCACCGTGATGATGAGAGACACAAACTCCGAATATACAGCAGCAGGCGTTATCAGGGTCGGTATAGTACCCATGACCTACTGTGTACCTGGCGAGGTAGTTAACATATCCTAGCCACTGTGATGATGATGAGAGAGACACAAACTCCAAATATACAGCAGCAGGCGTTGTCAGGGTCGGGATAGTACCCATGACCTACTGTGTACCTGGCGAGGTAGTTAACATATCCTAGCCACTGTGATGATGATGAGAGAGACACAAACTCCAAATATACAGCAGCAGGCGTTGTCAGGGTCGGGATAGGACCCATGACCTACTGTGTACCTGGCAAGGTAGTTAACATCTCCTAGCCACCGTGATGATGAGAGATACAAACTCCAAATATACAGCAGCAGGCGTTGTCAGGGTCGGGATAGGACCCATGACCTACTGTGTACCTGGCGAGGTAGTTAACATCTAGCCACCGTGATGATGACAGACACAAACTCCGAATATACAGCAGCAGGCGTTATCAGGGTCGGGATAGTACCCATGACCTACTGTGTACCAGCCGAGGTAGTTAACATCTCCTAGCCACCGTGATGATGAGAGATACAAACTCCAAATATACAGCAGCAGGCGTTGTCAGGGTCGGGATAGTACCCATGACCTACTGTGTACCTGGCGAGGTAGTTAACATATCCTAGCCACTGTGATGATGATGAGAGACACAAACTCCAAATATACAGCAGCAGGCGTTGTCAGGGTCGGGATAGGACCCATGACCTACTGTGTACCTGGCAAGGTAGTTAACATCTCATAGCCACCGCCCCAGCCGGCGCGGCTCGCGTGACTGCTGCCTACAAGTTCGCGGCTCCTCCTCACCCTCCTCACCCCCCTCATCGCTGCTGCCTGCAAGTTCGCGGCTCCTCCTCACCCTCCTCATCCCCCTCACCCCCCTCATCGCCACCTCGTCAACTCCGAGGAGCCACCGGGCGGATGCTTGCCGCCTTGCTTCGGGGGTTCGAGCGCCGACGCCGGCGGCGCGAGGCGGGACGGGGCGGATAAGGAAGCGGGGATTTCCCAGCAATGACGAAACCGAAACCACTGACTACTCTTCCTTCTCGTCGTAGCGACATCGCCGGTCTCCTCGTGCCGGTGGGGGTCGGTCGGCCTGCGGTTGCCGCAACTTGTTGCAGTGGCGAGGCGAAGGGCGGCAGTGCGGTCGACGGGGGCAGACGCGCGGGGCCTGGTGGTGGTGGTGAGTGTGGTTGTGGTGGTGAGCGTGGTGGTGGTGAGTGTGGTGGTGGTGGTGAGCGTGGTGGTAGTGGTGGTGAGCGTGGTGGTGAGCGTGGTGGTGAGCGTGGTGGTAGTGGTGGTGAGCGTGGTGGTGGTGAGCGTGGTGGTGGTGAGCGTGGTGGTGGTGGTGAGTGTAGTGGTGGTGAGCGTGGTGGTGGTGAGCGTGGTGGTGGTGAGCGTGGTGGTGGTGAGCGTGGTGGTGGTGAGCGTGGTGATTGTGGTGGTGAGGGTGGTGAGTGTAGTGGTGGTGAGCGTGGTGGTGGTGGCGAGCGTGGTGGTGAGTGTGGTGGTGGTGGTGAGCGAGGTGGTGGTGAGCGTGGTGGTGGTGAGCGTGGTGGTGGTGGACGGACACACACGGAAACAGAGAGACATACACAGAGACAGAGAG